TTCCCGGACCGGGGCACGAACCCGTGTCTCCTGCATCAGCAGGCGGACTCTCAACCACTGCGCCACCAGGGAAGCCCAGCACCTTTGTTTTTAACGACGAGCCCCCTCCTACGGTCCACAGCCCCTAGGAACCCTCCTCTCACCACGTCGAGTAGGTTTCCTCTTCTCACTCTCTCTCCTCCCTTTGCAGTGTCTGGCGCTGTGTCCCACCTCCACCATCTTGAAACTATCCTTCCTTGGCCTCCATAATAACAGCACACCCGCTCCCCGTCCTTCTGTCCGGTGAGCTGTGTCCTTCGTCTCCTAAACAGAGTTCTCCCTGAGACTCCATCCTCTGGAGCGGCGTGAGATAGTGGAAAGAATAGAACGCAGGTTTGGGAGCCAGAGTGACCGTCTGATCCTGGGCTGTATCATTTATTGTTGGGTGATCTCTCTGAGCCTCCACTTTCTCAACTGTAAAGTGCAGATTAATCCCAAGGGTTGAAGGTACTGTAGGGAAAGGGCCTGACACAAAGTCGTGGCTAAACGCAGGGCAGCTGTGGGTGTTCTCTGCGACTCTGTCAGGCATTACACAGGCCCCTGTTGACTCGCCTCTCGCCTCTCACCTGGGGGAGCCAACACGCTCTCTCCAGCCCTGAATTCTCTCCCACATCTGGTCCCCAATTCCACGTATCTGTAGGTGTTTCCACTTTTGACGTCCTGTCATGACCCAAGTGGTAGCCTGCATAAACCAACCTTGTCATTCTTTTTTCTCCAGAGCTCTTCCTGCTGGGTTTTCCCTGATTCAGCCGTCCACGCCGCTATTTCCCAGACTCTTGGGATCCAAAAGCTTGGGAGTATCTTTCATTCAGCTGTCGCTTTGGCCTTTCATGTTTGGAAATCGCCATGATTGTTGGTCCAGTGACTTCACATGCATCTGTGACTTCATCTCAACAGGATTTTGACGTCGGCTGTTACAGAAATGAGGCCTGGAGACGCAAAATCATCTGCCCGAGGGGTGAAAAGGAGAGCGGGACTCGACTCAAAGCCTGGGCTCATCCCATTTCTTGGAGGCTCCCTCCCCGGCGTGACTGGTAGCCTGGCTGGTCTCACACCCCACTAACTCAAAATGCTGAGGTCTCTCCATCTTAAAGACAAACTGATGAACCTTTCCCAGTGCCTGTCTCCAGCTCTTAGCCCTCTCCTGCTTCCCCCTGTACATACCCGCAAGCCTGCCTTACACTCTTGGGTTCCTCAGTCACTGCAAGCTAGTGTCCGCCTCCCTGGCATGGCCCCCACCAAGTTCCCTCTGTCCCCAGGACACTCCGTGGCCCTGGCCATACCCGAGTCCTGTCTAACCCCATCACAGCCCCTCTTCCGCCCAACGTGCCTCCCCTTAGCTTCTCTCCTGATTTCCTTCTACCCCTCCGGCCATCCTGCCCTAGTGCCCTCAGCCTCACCGGCCATCCTGCCCTAGTGCCCTCGGCTCAGCCCAGCACCTGATGCTGCACATCCCCAGGTTTGGGGTCCAGGCCATCTGCTCTTGACAAACCCCATGTTCTCCTTGGTTGGCTCATTTCCTCATGTGGCTTCAGTGACCACCACCATGTTGACAGCTCCCCAGCCTCTCTCTCTAGCTCAGATATTTCCCTGTAGCTTGAAATCTTCATATCCCTCTGAACGTGGAGTTCTAATCCTGAATCCACCACGTCCCAGCTGGGTGACTGCGATGGTTAATTTTGTGTGTCAACTTGACAGGGTGCCCAGATATTGGGTCAAACATGATTCCAGGTGTGTCTGCGAGGGTGTTTCTGGATGAGATCAGCATCTGAATCCACTGAACAAAGCAGGTGGCCCTTCCTAATATGGGGGGGCCTCATGCGATCCAAGGAAGACCTGAAGAGAACAAAAGGGCTACCCCTCTGTGAGTGACGGGGGTCCTCCCGCTGACCGTGGAGCGGGGACATCGGTCTTTTTCTGCTTTTGGACTTGGACTGAAACAGTGGCTCGTCTTGAGTCTGTTGGGTTGGAACTCACACCATTGGCTCTTCTGGTGTCAGAACTTCAGACTCAGACCAGAGCTGTGCCATGAGATCTCCTGGGACTCCGGCTTGTTTTTGTTCTTGTTGTTTAAAGGTGTTTTTTTTTTTTTTTTTTAAATTTATTTATTTATTTTGGCTGCGTTGGGTCCTCATTTCATGAGGGCTTTCTCTAGTTGCGGCGAGCGAGGGCCACTCTTCATCGCGGTGCGCGGTCCTCTCTTGTGGCGGAGCACAGGCTCCAGATGCGCAGGCTCAGTAGCTGTGGCTCACGGTCCCAGCCGCTCCGCGGCATGTGGGATCTTCCAAGACCAGGGCTCGAACCCATGTGCCCTGCATCGGCAGGCAGATTCGCAACCACTGCGCCACCAGGGAAGCCCTAAAGGTGTTTTTTTTGACGTGGACCATTTTTTAAAGTCTTTATTGAACTTGTGACAATATTGCTCCTGTGTTCTGTTTTGGTTTTTTGGCCACGAGGCATGTGGGATCTTAGCTCCCTGACCAGGGATCAAACCTGCAGCCCCTGCACTGGAAGGCAAAGTCTTAACCACTGGACCGCCAGGGAAGTCCTCCGACTCCAGCCTGTTGACTGCAGGTCTTGGGACTTCTCAGCCCCCAAAATTGGTAAGCCAGTTCCTTATAATAAATCTTTTAGATATAGATATATAATAGATAGATAGATAGATAGAAACAGATACATCTCCTATTAGTACTTGAGTTTTCTTACTATCCTAGGGTTTACTCTATAGATCAAGGAACCAGTGAGATTTCTGTCAACTTCTAATATCCGTTCCCATTGTGCATTTGGGAAGCAGGAAAATGACCACAGGTGGGTTTGTGGACCACAGTGAGGCATACATGGATTGGAGCCCTTTATTACTAGATCATCATACAACTCTAGTCTAACAGGGGCCGTAATGGTACTTTGGGTCCCCATCATTTCAAAGCCTGTATCCAACAGTCCTCAGAAGATCTGGGCAGTCTCCTTTCCCCACTGTATGGGTATCTGGGTAAATGGTCATAAGTCCCTTTGGAGGAAAGAGTGAGGTATCACGAGTGACCCAACCTTTCCTTTAGTTGATGGATGTGGGTCTGAAAACGGGCTCAGATCTGGAAACTGCGAAAAGGACTGTGACTTTGCACCGGGTCTCCTGACATCCTTGTGCTTGTTATTCTCGGCCTCTTTTGCTCACACATATGTACCAGGCAGAGACTTTGCTGCCTGTCCATCTGTCTTGCCTCTGGGAGCGCCATGTTCTATTAGTCACACCCACAGCTCCCCGCAGGTCAGGGTCTTTGGTTGCCATTCTGCCTTTGCTGCCTGTTACAATAATTTTATCCTGTTTCTCATGGTTAAGTGCTGCCACTGGCCTTTGATATTCTAGGGTCCAGTATCATCCTCATTACCACCAAAAAGCCCAGACTAAACCACGTCTCTTGTCATCGGCCCCGGACTACAGAGGGGTCACCACTGACTGAAGCATCTTAATGATGGTGGTGCTCTCCCGGCACTCTCTCCTCAACACCTGCGCGGATGCCTGTCCCTCAGACCCTTCTGAGGGAGGGTCAGCTGGTGTGTCCGGCCTCACGGTAGATTAGTCCTAGTGCATCCATGTCTGTAGCCTTTTGACCCCTCCTTCCATGGTTGAGCACAGTGATCCTGGTATTGTTTTTTCCAAGCTTGTAAGAGCCATCAGGACTTTCCTCTCTCATCCCGCCCCTAGGCCCTTGCCCATCATGTGAAATGCTTGTTCCAGGAGAATAGTTCCGTATTAATGAACGTGCCCTGACTTGGACCCTTCCCTCCGTGAGCCGGCGTTCTTCAGACGCGCCCCCAGCACACACTTGCAGCTCCTGCCCTTGCACGGTCACCCAGTCCTGCGGCTCCTCTGGTATAGAATGCTTCCCCCTTCTCAGGCCCAGTGACAGAGCCCTCACCCGGGTTCTCCTGACCCTGACCCTAGTCATTGGTCCGGTGGCCAGCAAGAAGGGGAGAGGGGAGACCCTCAGAGCGCAGTCATCATTGTGGCGGCTTTTGCCTCGTTGGAGGCTGGTGCAGAATGTACGAGGAAAGGCTGCTCTCCTTTAAGGAGGTGGAGGGGCCGCTTCTGCAAACTCAGGAGGTTCAGGGGAATCTGGGGGCTTCAGGGCTCTCCAGTGCATCCACCCAGAAATACCCACTCCCCCCTTTCAGTCCCTCAGTCCCTCCCAGTCTGTATCAGGCCCCGACGTGGATGGAAGAGAGTCGCTTTTCTGAAGGTCTTGAGTTTGGTTCTCAGCTTGGTCTACCTTCTGGCTCCAGGAGATGTCTTTTAACAGTGCCAACGAAGCCTCTGTCTCTCACAGAGGCCTTGGATTAGTCATTGATTTCCCCCACGCCTGTCCTTTTCTCTTTTCAATGCCTCAGCTGATGGTCAGCAATGGCCACCAACCCCACCATCCTTTAATGACTCTTTGCCCCGTACCTCCCATGTGCCAGAGATATTGCAGTAAACTACATCTCTTTCAACCTGTATTCCCTTTCAGCTCACCCCCCAGTGAAGGTCTCAGCAATTACTCTGCTACATCAGGCCAGGGTCTTTCAGTACTCCCACTCGACCACCCGTGATGAGGGTCCTCATTGCCAGCTAGGTGGCAAGTGGTCAACTCCGGAATCACAGTTTCCTCTGGAGTGTACTCTTGGTACCAACGGTCTTAGGTAAGCATCCTTCAAGCAGAGTCTGAGGCAGGGATTTGGGTTACTGTGATTTACTGAGGGAGGACTCTTAGGAGAAAGGGAGTGTAAGGGAAGTAGGGTGAGCGGGAGAGGACCAAGGCGTGGAGGGGGTCTCACGTGGACCCAGATGCAGCTTGGTCTCTTGGGTAGCCCTGGGGCGTGGCCTGCACCACAGAACCAATCCCACCTGGAAGCAGAGGAGCCAGGCCTTTGCACCCTCGTGTCAGCTGGTCACTAGCTGCAGGTTTCTGGAGTGGGGTGGGGCGTGCGACTCCCTGTGTAAGGGGCCCCTGGCTCCCGTTCAGCTGAGGACAATTTTCTGGTGGTTCGCAGTTAGGTTCGCTGGCCGTGGAGTCATCCAGGCAGGACACCAACAACTCCTAAGACGATTTCAGTAAATAACACCCAATCCATCAGTTGCTCAAGCCAGAAACCTGGAACTTATTTTCGTCTTCTTCCTTTTCTTCTGTTCTCAGTCCAATCGATCTCCAAGATATGTCTTTAATTTCCTAATCACCCCAGTCCCTTTTTTCTGTTCTCACTGTCACGACCCAAGTCGACATCACCGCCATCTATTGAGTATATTCCTGCAACAGCCCCGAACGGGCCTCTGGTTTATCATCTGCAGGACAGCCAAGTTCAGCTTTCTAGAATCCCCGTCTCTTCATGTCACTTCCTTTATTAACCCTTCAGTGGCTCCCATCACTCTTATGATAATTTTAAACTGCTTCATGTGGCTTAAAATATCCTGCCTGACCTCGGTTCTGCTCTCCTTTCCTGGCTCAGCTCTCAGTACTTAAAATCTCAACGAGCTGACCCAAACGGACCTCTTTTAGTTATATTCAGATATGCCACACACTGTCTTTACTCTCTGTCTTTGCACGTATTTTTTCATCTGCCTAGAACACCTTTGCTACCTCTCGCCTGATTACCTCACGTGCACCTTTAAGACTCTGCCAAGTTACACTTGCCCCTGAGAAGCCCCCGCACACCTTGTACTCCAGCATCATCCCCTGCGTCACGTGGCACTGCAGTGGCCTGGATCTCCTCACTGCTGTCTTTTCCTCTAGCACCGCTTCCCTGAATGTCTAAAGACAAGTTTCCTTCCAGTTTTCTCTTCTCTAGTAGTTTGGCAGTAATACATCCCATTTCTACTCTTTAATGGTTTAGCACAAACTCACGTCTACTTAGATCCCAAGCTCTGTGGCAGCAGGGATGATGCTCACATTACTTACTGCTGTGTCATCAGTGCTTGGTGTATGGATGGAGCACAGTGTGTTTGTTATGTAAAATAATAAATGAATAAAAGTATCTCATGTCCTTTGCAACTGCTGCTCTAGATGCCAGCACCTGCAACTGTGCCTTGCAGACAGTAAGTGCTTCATAAATATTTGTTGAACTCAGTGGTGAGCTTAGCTTTTTCCTTTCCATTTGTAGGACAGCTGTTCTGCCTGATTCAGGTCCTCAGCACCTGTGTCCAGAGTCACGCAGCAGAGAGTGACATCAGCAAATTGTAGACCAGGAAGTTCCAAGTTCTCATTTCCCCACAGAAACACACACACACATACACACACCCCCAAACAACAGCAAAAAGAAATGGAAGCTGTCTTAAACAACTTTGCAGGAGCTCTAGAAAACAGTCAAATGTTTACAGCAACGAAGCAAATGCCCTCCAAAAAAAATCCATTCTCAAAATGGTGGGAAAATGATGTGATATTTTTACTCACTCTAGCTCCAGCCCACGTCACCCCTCCCAGCACAATGGTGATTTTGGTCTTAAGAAGGTGGCAGACCTGTTTCCAGTTTTCTTCCTCAAGCCGGAAAGGGTATACCTGGAGGAATGATGCAAGTCACTAGTCCCTGTTCCACACAACTTGAAATGCAGGCGGGTATAGCTTGTAAAAGCTACAAGGCAACTACAAACTGAAAGATATCTGGGTGGAGACATACGGTGGACCATCTAAGGTCAGGAGGAGAAGCTGAAGTTAGATGCTTTTGGAAATTAGGACATTTAAAAGTAGCCTTGTGTCCAGGAGAATTTAGAAACACATGTGCGTATTCAGGGAAGGTACATGCTCAGAAAAACCCTGAGAAGAGCTTAAGCATTTACATTGGGCTGTTCCTTAGGCTCAAAGGAAGCCTAGGTAAGTGGTGAAGGAGTGTCCCTAGAACAGAGCCAGTCTGCAAAGGCTAGGAAAGGTGGCTGTTCTCTCATTTGGGAATCTACTTTTGGTGGTTTTGTTTGTGTGTTTGGTTGAGCTCCTGGCATTTCAGGAAATCTCTGTCAAGATCCTAGCTGAACACAAGCAGAAGAAATAGAAACTTCAGTGATTACACGTGATAAGGCATATAATCTTTGCAAAAATATTTTGGAAAAGTATCATAAATGTACTACTATAGGCTTCAACAATAACCATAGGAAGAGAGGGAAGAAGGAAGGAAGGAAGGAAGAGAAAGGAGAGAGAAAACCAGCAAACCCTGAGGAAGGGGAAGAAGTAGAATCTGATTTCCAGAGTTACCACATTATAGTAGTCAAATGCACAGTTTTCAACAACAACAAAAGAAATCACAAGGCATAAAAAGAGTCAGGAACACATGGCCCATTCAAAGGAACAAAATTAATTGACAGAAGCTGTCCCTGAAGAAACCCAGGCATCAGAATTACTAGATAAAGCCTTTAAACCAACTCTCTAGGGAAAACATGGGCAAAGAACAAAAGGAAATTAGG